CTCTAGAGGTCCCTTCCAACCTTAACCATTCTGTGATTCTATGATTGAAGCACATAAGCTAAACTTGCACAAGATAAGAGCTAGGGTTTTATTGGAAGGATTATATACTAGCTGCATTGCTTGCGTTAATCTAACCCTTGTGCTCCTGTGAGCAAAACAACATGGGATACTTCTCATTTACTGCAATGGTAACACTTTGGGGAGTTGAATATAGAAAAAAAAAAAAATTCTTTTATTCCTCTCTATATAAGTCATGTTGCACTGAATACAACTCTCCAGGATTTGGAAGGAGCAACAACACAAGAACAGCCTCTAAAAGCTATTATAAACATAGCATACCTTTAAAAAATCCTATTACTTTATAGACTAGAAGCAGGTGTAAAAATCTTTAAGACAACACAGGGAAGCCCTCTTGCCAGGAAAAAAGAAGAAAATAAAAAAAAAATCCTGTTTGTAGCTATACAAGGCCTTGTTAACAGTGACTTCATACGTATAAGATGGCTATATACCTAAAACTCCTTTTACTCAGACCAGTCACATCTACACCTACTACACACACACAAACACACTAAGGTCTCCATGCACAAAGCCTCTTATACATGTGAACGATCCAATGTACCACCTTACCTTCCTGCTCTCTTGTAATCCTTTTTGTAGGACCTGTCTGGTGACGGTGATCTTCTGCTGTCACGGTGTCTATGCCTCTCCCTCTCCCGCTCCCTGAAAGAGTTTAAAACACTGGTTAAATGAGAAATGTGGCATTTCTTACAATTCACACCTGAAAGAAAGACAGAAGCAGGATAAGATCAATTCCCAGTATTGTCCAATGACACACTTGCCAACTGCTAGAGTTAAAGAAGCCTAAAAATTCTTAATTCTTCAAGAAACATGGAACAGACAACCACTGTCCTGCTCTGCTTTGGTTATAATGCCATCTCTCCCAATATGTAAAATAAGATTTTAGGAAAATCTTCCTTTGGAAATGGCATAGCAGCAAAGTTAAAAAAAAAAAAAAAAAAAAAAAAGGAATAAAATGACCACACATTATATTTTTGGAATGCAGCTGTCTTAAGTTCTGCAAAGAAATTTCTACGCAGGCATCTAAATAAAAATGGCTTCATTTCCAAAGACACTAAGTGCAAATTCATGTTTCCCATGTGAAATGGCAAAGCTCAGAGCTTCTAAAATAGAACATGTGATCTAGATGCACTAATAAATTTTTAGATTGTCAACTTTCAGGAACCTCCTTTTGAAAATCCTGATCTAAATCATTAGTCACAAACACAGGCACTAAAGACAGCAAATCTAAAGGCCTGAAAGAAACGTGGCAATGGTTTGCTCTAAGGCACTATAAGGCAAACTTGATTTGTGAGCTTTCATCTATGAAGCAGAGGGGTAAAAGCTTCATGAGACACCCCAGAATAGGCTGTGAATTCTCATCTCCCTGAGTCATAAGATGACAACACAGCTGGCAGATTCTCTCTTCCTTGGACTTCTGTAGGCTGAACCACACATGCAGGTCTACATGTCCGCTGGGAGGGAGGTCTCACTTGCAGGGATCTCCCACAAAGACAGGGATGAGCAGGATAAAGAACACTGTGCAACAGTCTTTTCACTGGGAAGCTCACTGCCAGTTCTCAGGAATTAGATCTGTGCATCTATCAGACCGTAAAACCCCAACAAGTCCTGGTTATCTACACATACAGGCCTTAATGAAAGCAGGGCTGTACTCGAACAAAAAGTAGCATCTTCAGTCTGGTACTCAAATTTGAAGCTGGAAATACTGGGGCTTAACCAAAGTCTCAAGGCTGAGACTTTGAACACAGCCCTTTGCATAGACTTGTGCTAACTTTGCTTTCATGACACAACTGCTGAAGCTTCTGTGGGAAGCCCCACGGAGAGCAGAGCGCTACAAGGCACGGGGTATTCAAAGGGGAGCCTCCTTGTTTCCAGCTCTGTCTGCAGACAGGGGAGCAGGCTGACAGACATAAACCATGTACCTGGAGAACAGCAAAAGCCTCGAGCACTGGCTACACCCATGGCTACACCACCTCGAGTTAAACGCCATGGGTGAGCGATGGACACTTGATTCAAATAAATACTACAGAACAACCACGGCTCTTGGTCTGCAGGCAGAGGATAGGTCAAGTTACCTGCTACGCTCGTAACTCCTATGGTGAGGCGACATCCTTCCCCTGTCGTAATCCGCCCGGTGCCGACTGCTCTCCTGCCTCCTCCGATCCGGGCTCCGGCCTCGATCC